GGAGGATGGAAGGATTCTCCAACTTGCCGCCATAGCTTAGATGTGGTGACCTATATAAGAAAATGAAAATCACAGGAATTTTGAATACCACAGACATAGAGTTTCAAGCAACGTGGGCGGTGGGCTAGAATTGAGTCTAAACTTTCAAACAAAGCAGATGACACTAAGCAAGTTCAGTTGCCAAAACAGAGACATAACATAATTAACACATACACTTAATTATTCCCGGCAGACATTCCTTGGTCTTAAATCATCTTCTCATTCATTAGCTACAAGAACTAACTTTTCTAGGATACTATAGTTCACGGGTTATACAACCCGTACAACCCAAAACGTATAAACCACCAACTTGTATATAATAAAATAGAAGATTTTTAACCTACTAACTGGGGAGAGGGAGGAGAAGATCTTAGTAAACATAAAATCTCTCAAAGTTCGAAAGTAGATCATTACCACGTCGTAGCCACCTAACTTGATGACGGCTCTCCATAGCCTACATTTAAAAGTAAAGCATGCAGAAGTCAAACAAAGGAATAACCAAAAATATGGGATTTCCCAAGAATTAAAACAAAACTTTCAACAACTCACTTGAGACAATTTAAGGGCTGTCCATAAAACTTTGGGGCTTTAAATTCAAGGAAATTCTCCTTGTGGAAGGCCTCCACTTCTTTAATAAACGCCTCTTGATTCGGTGGTGTCCCTGCTTCATCAACTTCCCTGGCCTGTAAAAAACACATGAGTTCGTAATGAAATAGAGCCGCTGATGAACACAAATCTCACCAAAAAAAAAATGATATTCAACGATTAACGCAGATGCAAGCAGGCTAGTTGTCTCAAATGCGATAAAAACGTGCTGTCATCACCTCAGAATCACTCAACAACCATGTCTTCCACTTCTTAACACTTTTTTCTGGAACATGCGGACTGGATGGTTCCCCCTTGAGAGGAATTGATTCCCCAAGTGTCGTTTCCTCTTGACCGCCATCACTAGTAACCTTCTTTTCAGACTGATCGACATCACCATTCTTGCCATCAACACTGTTGTGACCACCTACCTCTTCATTAGCCTCAGTTTGATTAGTAATGGGAGCATCAGATAAATGAAGATCACTGTCCAGAGTATGAGTCTTATCCTCGATAACAGGGGACTTAGGTATTTCAATAGAGTTTTGGTCTTTCTCTGGTTCTGAAGGCTCCTCCTCCACTACAACACCTTTGGTATCAGCACCAGAAGGCACATCTTGCTCTTGCATTTCGGTGTCCGCCATCAAAAAGCTAATTCTCTGAGATATACCATCACAACAAGAAGGATGAATTCAAAATCCAGAATTCATAAATAATTCGAAACGGACTATCGATAATTCCAGAGAGAATGTTATCGAGAATTGGAATGCAACAAAAGTCTGCGTCCTACTCTCTCACTGATTTGCTCTAATTCAAACAGATAAAGTGATGACGACTAAAGCATTAGAAAGCAGAGCTTCACGAAATCATGGAGTGCATAGAAGAAACCAAAGATATGGTTACCGGTTTCGCCGGGAGAATACGACGCCGGAGACGGTGGAGTGGCGGGGTAGGGTTCGTTAGCAGCCGGCGAAATTGAAGGACGCCGGCGGAGAAAAAAAGAGCGAGAAACGGAAAAATTATCAATTTAACGGAGAGAGAGGCAGATCAAAAATCACGATTAAAAACTGATAATATTGAACACAAAAATTCATTACAAAAAAAGAAAGAAAAAAAAAAAAGGCTTTTAACGAAGATCTTAATAGCAAGATTATTTAAAGGTATTAGACAATTTGGAAATGAAATTTCAGAAAGTTGGACCTTTATGGCCCATATACTTAAAGAAGCCCATTATGTTAAAATATGGGCTTAATATTTAAGGTCTATAATCTTAGGCCCAACAAAACACAAAGAAGAGAAGACAACGATCTTTTGTCTCGATTGTTCTTTACTTCTTTACGTCTCTGTTTGTGTACTGTTTCAATTATCCGGACTTCATTCCATTCCCCATAGATTGATTCTTGTGTGATTTGTTATAAAACAAACTGTGGTTATATGTAGTTTACTCCATTTTTGTGGTGTTTTAATTAGTTACTTAAGATGGAGGAAGTGCAATCAAAGTCTCTGATTATATATATTAGCTTATACATTTACGTGCTTAAGTTTACAGTTATGGTGATGATGATGTGGATCCAAAGGATAACAAATATGAGCATTCATTCGAAGCAAAATGGTACAGATCAAGCATAATTCTATTGAATTAGGGACCATTCTTTTGAATTAGTCTTTGATACCCCAGCATCTCCCATATATACTAGATTTTAACCCGCGGTACACCGCGGGATGATTTAATTTTAAAGTTTGTATAAAAATATTTTGTAAATTGTATCTCCTTATAACATATTTATTTATATTATAGTTTACAATTGTTATTAAGTAACGGTATACCACGAGTCCACGAGATAATTATTAATAAACTGAGGATTTAACCCGTATTAAAGCGGTATATAAATATTGATTCAAATTCGTCCGCCATATAAATCATTTCCGAAATATAACCCGTTCCGTAATTTCTTAACCCGTCCTGTGATTTGTATTAAAAAAAAGGATTAAATCCGTATTGAAGCGGCGGATTAATGATATTTTAATCTTTTTATTATTGTTGATTCAAAAACCCGTCCCGCCAAACCCATCCCGCCAAAAAACTCATTTATTTTATTAATGTTCTTATTTATGATATGATTCTGAATCATTGTCTAAATATTTTAATCGATGTAGAACGTTGAACACACATTTTCGTCAAATGGATAATATATGTCCGTTTTTAAAATTTCGAATCACAGTATATGCAGAAAAAAAAATTGATTTTTTTTTTACTTTATGTATTATATGATGATTCAAAACAGTTAAAAACAAATCAAACAAAGATGATAGGAGAATCATAATTATAAATCTTAATCAAATCTTCTAAAAATCTAAATTATTAAATATGGAATATCCGGTGTATGAGTTGGGTTAAATATAACCCGACCCAACAAATTTTTTATGAAGGAATTTTTAAAATGGATCGGATATCCAATATATCCGAAAGCTTTTTTACCCACCCATCACAAAAGTACTGCGATTATACTAGTATAGATATATCAAGATTTTCAATATATGTCAAGTGTGTAATTTTCATTGACGGACATTAAAATGACTGGACCATTTCGATTTGACATATTTTTGTTCCTTTTTTTTTTTTTAATCTTTTGTTCACGTTAACGCGTGTTCTTGTATCATCATAGAATATCAAATAATGTTAACTTCTTTCAACAATACATCTTCACAAGTCTCTTGTGTGAGTAGAATCCAAGATAAGTTTTTTTTTTTTTTTCCAAAATAAGTTTATTCATGCTCAAACGAGCTCTAATAAGTAGATAAATAATAAGCGTATATAAATATAGCTCACATGAAAATATATATATATATAGCTCACATGGGCTTCATTAGGTTTGTTGCAGTTATATGACGAGCCAAATAGAGATAGACAGACACGTCATTGTTGTTGTAGGGTTTTTCCTGGATGTGTCTTCATCATTGTATTCAATTTTCTGTTTGTGGATATATTTTATATGATAATCCATATGACCATATCGTTGTAGTATTTTCAAAAACTCAATTTTCGGAATACTCAACTCGCACACAGTAGTTTCCGTTGTCATTTATATTCGGTTCGTTGGCACGCTTAGCTTCCATCACACAATTAATTTAGGCCACCAATACACTCCTCCATCCATTTTTTTAAGAGCATCTCCAACCCACCTCTATATTTGCCTCTAAACTCTATTTTAGAGTCAAATTTGCTCCAACCCACCTCTATTCTCACCTCTAAAATAGAGATCTCTATTTTTTTCTCTATATATAGAGGTGAGAATAGAGAATCTCTATTTTTTCCTCTATAAATAGAGTTAAATTTTTTAGAGGAAAAAATAGAGGAACACATTGGAGTAAAAATAGAGAAAACTTATCTCTATTATAGAAATAGAACTAAAAATAGGGAAATACATTGGAGATGGTCTAATAGATGATGTTTTAAGAGAATACACACAGATTAAGAAATCATTTAATTTTTGTTTATTTGTAAACAAAAACATCATTTATTATCTAATCAACCAATAGAATAACAATATGCATAATATAAATTATCAAAACCAATAAAAAACTAATTAATATTGCATTGAAAACTGAAAACACCATCTATTTAAAAACAAAAATATAAGCTTAAAACATCATTTATAAAAGAACAGAGGGAGTATATATTATCTGTTGATAAATAAACATAAAATACAAAATTATGTCACTGAAACAATTTAGTTTATGAAAAAAGAATATTATAGTTCTTTTCCATTCGATAAACACTTTGCATTAATATCTGCACATCTTGGGCAAGAATCACAAAAAAACATGGGGCACGTTTCGTAGTCAATGTGACGAAAGGCATGACGATATAATTTGTCTTCTCAGATAAAGCCTTATTATTCTCATGAATGTTATACGAAACAAACAAAGAGCCCGCTTGAGTTGAGTTTTCCAAAAATTGTGGACCTGTTTCTTCTTTCTTTTTGTACATATAAACTAGGTTACAAAAATTGCAAAATATACAAGAATATAACTATCATAGTTTTAAAATCAAAGGACGTACAGAAACTTACGAGTTATCATAAAGTTGGAATTCAGAAAGGAGCTAGCTAGAAATCGATGATACGTTAATTTGTTTCTTATACGGAACCAAAGTTACAAAACTATTCATTTTTTTTTTTTAAAGGTGTAAAAGTCTGACCCGGATCAAGCGGACACCAAGTTGTACATACACTACAATGATATAAAAACTAAATAATAATATTTCGTAGGATGAAAATATGAAATTCTCTTCCCATATGCATAGAACAATAAAAATGGAATAGATTAGTTTGCCCCAAATAAAAAGATTAGTTTCTTAAAAAAAAAAGCATTTGTCTGTTTTTTGGATAGACAAGAATTTAAATAGAGTGAAGAGGCGACCATGCAAGTGTTGTACTAAATTTTAGAGTCGCTCTTTCTCTTTCATAGAGAGAGAGAGAGAGAGTTTCGATTTCTCTGGATTCTACGGCGGCTTCTCACTGTCGTCTAGCTGTACCACCGACGACGATAATCTCTCTCTAAATCCATTCCCTTCGATCTCTCGGATTGCTCTGTTTTCGTGGTCTTGCAGCTCCATCAATTCTCCTCCAATCAACTTATATATTTACAGATTCGAGCGTTAATAATAAAAAGATGGTGAAGCTTTTGGAGCTGTTCATAACTTCATCGAAACCAGTCGTGGAGATTCTGTTGATAACATCTGTCGGATTTTATATGGCTCTTGACGGTGTCAATCTTCTTGGTCAAGATGCTCGCAAATATTTGAACAACGTCCGTTAATTATATTATCACTCTCTTCTTTAACAAATCTAAACGATTTCAATAATTAATCTTTGTTTTGTTGATGTGTATAGATTGTCTTCTATGTGTTTGGTCCTTCGCTTATTGGAAGTCGTTTAGCTGATAGTGTTACATATGAAAGCTTGGTCAAAATGTAAGTCAATATGATATTTTGCATCTTGAGTCCAGATTTATCTTTGCTCTTTGGTTAACTATAGTGAAAATGATGATTTGCAGGTGGTTTATGCCGGTTAATGTTCTGTTGACATTCATCATTGGTTCGTTATTAGGCTGGATTGTTATTGTCATCACTAAGCCTCCTTCACATCTTCGTGGTCTCATTCTTGGTTGTTGTGCTGCTGGTAAAAACCTTGATAACATGAATGTGTCTGATTTCAGAAACTGTCTGACTTGTGTTTTTGCTTATCAATGTGGTAATGAATGAAAACCCAAAAACAGGGAATTTGGGGAATATGCCACTGATTATAATCCCAGCCGTCTGTAAAGAAAAAGGAGGTCCCTTTGGAGATCCAGAGAGTTGTCAGAAATATGGAATGGGTTATGTTGCTCTCTCCATGGCAGTAAGTTCTTCTTCATCTTCTTCTTTTTCAAGGCTTTGTTGTCAGTGTGTATCATGATTCAGGACACTATTTGGTATGTATGAATCAGATGGGATCGATATACATTTGGACTTACGTATACAATCTAATGCGTGTGCTATCGAACTCTCCCGTTGAAACCCCTCCCTCTGTTGAATCTAACTATGACAGCTACAAAGTTCCACTTATTTCTTCTAAGGAAGAAGAAGAAGACAACCAAAAGGTCTCATCACATTTTCACATGATCAATAACTATTCATTATCAAAGTTGGTAGTGACTATGTGTGTATGTGACAGGCTGGGAGGTGGGAAATAGTCAAGCGGAGATTGGTTTCACTGTCAGAGAAAGTCAACCTTAAGACAATATTTGCTCCATCAAGTATTGCTGCGGTTTGTGTTTCAGTGTCTCTATTTTATACATTCGAGACATCACTCACACTAGAGTGTAATCTTTCTCACCTTTTCTGTTCTTCTGTTTTCAGATGATCGCGCTTGTGATCGGGCTCATTACTCCTTTAAGGAAGCTGATAATTGGCACGGAAGCTCCTCTCCGGGTTCTTCAAGATTCAGTAACTCTAGTGGGGTAATTGTAGAATATACTAAGTACTTGAAAATGAAACATCTCATGGAAAAAAATCACTCACTCGAAAGCTTGTACTGTGTCTTGTGTCTCGTGGCTGAAGAGATGGGGCAGTTCCTGCTATGACCATGATCATAGGAGGAAACCTACTCAAAGGTTTGAGGAGTTCAGGAATGAAAATGTCCAGTATTATCGGTGTCTTGGTTGCACGCTACGTTTTGCTGCCTATGAGCGGTGTTTTAATCGTAAGAGGAGCATATAAGTTGGATTTAGTTACCTCAGAACCATTGTACCAATTCGTTCTTCTTCTTCAGTATGCTGTCCCACCAGCAATGAATCTAGGTTCGTTGCTGCAAACCATCTCTTTATTGTATCTGATCAGATGCATCATTAGTTTTACCAGATTTAATCACTAACTTTGCAGGTACAATTACACAATTATTCGGAACCGGGGAGAGTGAATGCTCAGTGATTATGCTCTGGACTTACTCTTTGGCTTCGATTTCACTCACTGTTTGGCCAACATTCTTCATGTGGCTTGTGGCTTAAACCCCCGCACTCTTTCATGTTACATGCATTGTTTTGTTCTATTTATTCAAGAATTGTTCTTGGACTTCCAGATAACTGGATCCTGTATAATAGAGAATATATAGAAGAAATACTAGAAAGAAACAGCAACCAGAGGTGATATTATGCATATATTTCTTAAAACGTCAAAGCCGTTGATACAAATTTTCGAACAGAAAGAAATAACAATGAGAAGTGATGATTCATAGAGTTGGGAAGCAGCACACTAGAGATATGCTTGAAAGAAGCAAAACAAGAAAAACATAAAACTGGGAAAGATACTAACTGACGACTTAAATCCTTAGAGGGAGGACTTTTCTGGCAGATCATCAAAGTATGGATGCTCCATAGCCATCTTCGCTGAGATTCGTTTCGCTGGCTCGTACTGCAGCATTTTCTGTTACAGGAAGACAAGAATGCAATTAGTTCGTCTGTTGAGTTTGTTTTAAAAGCTAATTAAAGAAATTTAGACTAACAGATAGAAGATCAATTCCAGCCTCGTCGAGGTTTGGAACAGCTGAGGAGAGAGTCGACGGTTTCCATTGTGGGTATTCATGCCAGTTCTTGAGTGTGCTCACTCCTGGCCACATTTCTTCATTGGGTGTCCCGAACAACCTGAGTTTTACAGGGAAGAGCGACAAAATGAAAAAAGGTTTTCTTATGTTTGTCATGTATAAGAATCAGGACAAAGACTTGCTTAAAAATATGGAGGAGTTGTTGGAGCTCAGAGTCTCCCTGAAAGATTGCTTGGTTGGTAACAAGTTCAGCTGTAAATGGTGAAGAAACAATGTTAATTGTTGTCGTTAAGTAACTCAAGATGATATTGCAGAATAGTGAAATCAATGAGGCTGAAAGGGAACACTTACCAAAGATGCAGCCAACAGACCACATATCCACAGCTGTAGAGTAATGGGTGGCCCCAAGAAGAACTTCTGGAGCTCTATACCATAGAGTTAATATCTGTTGCAATGGACAACCGATTCAAAACCATAAGTTCTAGCTTTATAGAATACATACAAACTGGGATAGGATGTGAGCACTATACAAGAGACAGTGTTAACATTGATTACCTCATGGGTATACTTCTTCATTGGCAGAGTGAAGGCTCTGGCTAAACCAAGATCTGCTATTTTGAGCCTCATTGTCTTGGGATCCATCAAGAGATTGTGAGGCTTGAGATCTCTGTTATGATACCAAGAGAAGTAGTAAGAACAGGAGATCTCTCTTTCTCAAATCATTATCACTTAAAAGGGAAAACCAGAGAACAAGTCACCTGTGCAATATCCCGTGGCCATGACAGAATGCCATTCCTTTACATAGTTGGTACATCAAGCTCTGCGAATAATTTGAGAATGTTGTGTTTAGTTCAAGTGAGCACAAATGAAGTGAGAGACAGAGATGATGACAGAAACAATTAGATCCAAGTGGTAAAAAACCTTGATAGTTTGGGTTGGAATGTTCTTGCCAGTGCTACGGAAACTTCTGATGAATTTCTTGACATCAGTGTCCATGTATTCAAAAACCAGGTACAATACAGTTTTGCCTTCTTTGCTTAGTCCTTGCTTAACATCCATCAACCTGAAGAAGATGACAATCAGAATTCCGTAGAAGCAACAGATTTTGCAATCACAAGAAAACTAACTGATACTGCGATCGAGATCAAACTCTAGGAAACATCTATCAACAAATTCTACAGGCCTAAATCATATAACATTTGGTAGAGTCCCCGAACAGATTTGAAATTGAGATCTATCAAATCTGGAAAACAAGCGAGATAGTGAGAGAAATCGACTATACAAACCCTAACGCGACTCAAAAGAGACAGGGTCGAGAAAAATGGGGGCAATTTCAGCATATCAGAGGTAAAACCCTAACCTGACGATGTGGGAATCACGAGCAAGCATGCGCAAGATGGAGATCTCACGGAGAGTGGTGGAAGGAACGCCTTCTTCGTCCTCATGGAGACGAGTCTTCTTGAGAGCGACGATTTTTCCGGTAGCTTTCTCTCTGGCTCTGTAAACTTTCCCGTACGTCCCTTCCCCAACTTTCTCAAGCTTCTCGAATGCATCCATGGCGGAAACTGCTATAACTCCCTCGTCCATCGCTCTCTCGCTCAAATTCTTCTTCTCCGGCGCTCTCTCTGTCTCTCAGTTGGTTCTTGTTGGGAAAGTGAAAACAAAGTGTAGATCGGTTATATAATTAAATGAGATTGAAATTGTAGATTCCTTTTTGTTGGGCTTTTCACAACGGACTGATTTTTCGAAATTCAAACTCGAGAGTGGAGCGGTCTTTTGATAAAGGAGAATTTGAATGTATAACCAAAAATAAAACTTAAATTAACAAACTAACCAAAAAAAAAATGTGAAGTGATATTCTATATATTTACTATAATATATACCAAAATACCCCTTCTTTTTCCTACAACCCCACCATCACCAACCACCATCTCTACCTCTATCTCCAGCCACCGTCGGCCACCACCGAGAACCACCACCCCGGCTACCACCACCACCGACCTCCGCTGGCCACCACCACCCCCGAACTCCGCTGGCCACCACCACCCCGGCTACCACTACCACCAACCTCCACCGGCCACCACCACCACCGCTGCTGGCCACCACCACCGCTGCCGGCCACCACCACCACCACCCCGGCTACTACTACCACCAACCTCCGCCGGCCACCACCAACCACCACCGCTGCTGGCCACCGCCTCCACCGCCAGCCACCACCACCGTCGACCACCACCACATGCCACCTCCCCTCTAGCCACCACTACAATGGCTAATTTGGTCATTATACTACCCTCTATGGTTAGTTACTATATTTTCAATATTAGTGTGTTAGTTTCTTAATTAATTTATCAGTTTTAGTTATACACCTAATTCACCCTTTGATAAACGCCTTCTTTTTTTATTTGCCACGTACTATATCATTTTATTTTAGTGTCCACTTGTCATATTTATATCAGTAGGTACTTTGATTCGATGTATTAGTAAACAAGTCCTTGTGACAAATTATGATCGAGAAGGTAACAAGATGATTAGTGAACCGACACGCAGACTTCTCCATTAAAAGCATTACCCAAATCCTTTAACTTCGAATATTCTTTTCCTAAACTCAACTTTGATCAATAAAGTTTCCGTCCAATCAGAAGACGACTTCAAAATGGAAAGAGGGAAAGAGAGAAAGAGAGAGCTAATGGAGTTTATGGTTAAGGGAAAACCAACAAATTAAAATTCTTAAGCAAATTGCTGACCGCTGGTAGAAGAAGATGAGATTGTAGTGAGAACATCAGTCACCGACGCCATAACACTCAATGCCGCTTTCAAAACATCTTGAGAGCAACCCGGCTTCACTATCGTCCTCACCTGATCCAGATACTCCTGCAGCTTCTTGATTTTCCCCATGTAATCCTGGTCTTCTACACACAGACTTACCGCCTTTGCATCTGCACCTGGACCATCATACTGGACCGGTCCTGGGTTTCTGTACATATCTTCCATCAAGAATTTCTGCGCGTTTTGTCTCAATAGACTGCAAAACCATTTGACAAATTATCACTTGACTTCAAAGTCATTCTAATGTTATTTAGTGAGGAACAAAAAAACTTACTCGTATGCTTTGCCTTTCAAGTCAACTGAAGCTGGATGAATTACAGGTTTACCAATCGAAGTAGAACCAGAATTTTGGGACCAACGCTTAACCGTCATCATTGCCTAAGGTTAAACATACGAAGAGAGTGGGGTCAGTAAAACTGAAACTTGGAAGTCAGAAAGAAATAACACATATACTAAACAAACTTTAGCCTTAAATCAAGGCGACAAAACTCAACTAAAATCGGTGCAGCCCCACATTTCCATTTGTTTACAGGGCTCTTCAGGTTAGTCACTGTTGCCATGTAACCATTCAAACCAGCTGCAAGGATGTGGTAACATACATGTCCAAGAACCTGCATGAAAGTTATAATCAATGGTGTGAATATCTAAAATATGAAAGTTGCAATAGCATTGTAGTGCAGTTGGCGATCACATACATAGGCATAGTCACAATCGAATTTTGATGGAAGTGATCCACGAGCTTGGTAACCAAAAAAGTGACAGATAGCGTTGAATTTCTTCCCTTTGTAGGTCCCTTCTTTCTGTCATTTTCAAAAATTAGTTTTAGAGACAAGATTGATGTTATACATTCCATGAACAACTTGAATATTCAGGCAAGGTTATTAAAAAAATATTGGTAAGTTTGGTTTGGATTATGATTACTGAAAAAGACAGCAACATACCAAGCGCTTGTTCATTTCAGTCTCCACAAGATAAGCTAGAAGTTTCTCCGTCTCAATCTAGGGAAGAAAGTAAATGAGAAATTAGAATTCCAACTTTTTATAGCACAGTGACTCCATCATTTCCATTCTTCTTACCTGGGATAGCTGAGCAGAATCATCAGACTCGGGATGGAGAAGTAGCTGCAGCAACAAAGACGACAATTTATCATAACTCATAAGTATACATACTCGTTTACATGTGAGTAAAAAACAAAGAAAAGTCCTATGCTAAAGAAGAAGAACCTGTTTCTTAATGAATGGAGGCAAAAACTCAAACAAAGCAGATGACCAAGGTGACAGCTGAGTAGAAATATTATCAGCCTGCACACCCTCCTTAAGCAATCCATGAATTTCCTGCATCGCACAACGTCAACATGTAAATACTTACTATGTTTTGGCACTCACTAAACCAGAAAATATAGCTCATTAAATGATAGATAGAAATGCTTGCCAGTATTGAATCTTACCTTCAACAGAGCATAGAGTTCAGGAATACTCTCAACAAGCCCTTCAGGAATTAGGATGACTCCATGATTTTTGTCTGATACAAACAAACGGTTTATAACTAAAGTTAGTGACCAAGCAAAAGACATCACTGCCAACATACCACAATCTCATTTTAGTTATCAGACCTTGTTCTGCTCTTGCTTGAACAGCATCACAGATTTGTTTTATGATGTCAAATATTGTGAGCTTAGATGCTGTAACCTCCTCACCCAGTATCACCTGAGCAATCCCATCACATGCAAATGAGAAACTAGAGACAGCATTGCCAAGAATGTCAATTGTATATATTTAGAAATTGCAAGAATACCATGTTGGGATGAGACTGAAGTGTACACTCAAGGGCAACATGTGAATGCTTCCGACCCATGAGACGGACGAAGTAATAATACTGGCAATATGGAGGAAAGTATGTTATTTAGACGAAAATTTGATAACAGAATCATAAAGAACCCAACTTCGCAATTATCAAACCATAATAAACTTCACATTATTGACCAACAAAACTGCATATATCGATAGGAAAAGAATTCATTAAGATAGCTAGACTGAACAGTTTTATGGTTATGAGTGTCCTAGCAATCTTTCTAAAACATGATAACGTTTGGATGGATTTAACATTTACCTTCTCTGCTGAAAGGGCATCGGTGCAGATATTGCTAATGAGCTGAGAATTAACCTGTACAGAGTAGAATAATATTAGTCTAAATAACGGGGTAAAATGTTATTAACCTGAAAAGACTGATGAGGGAAATGAAATAATGTTGGCTACAAAACCTAGTAAGTAAAAGAAAAAGAAAAAGAGCTAAATTTTAAAGTTACCTTGCAAGTAGTATCGAAACCAACATTTGCTTCCACAAACTGATTCTTAAGATCTCCATTAATAGTGACCGGAACACCAACTACCTGAAACATATAGGTAATTTCTGCTGTTAACGATATAAGGTGAGGAGCAACTGTCACTAAATTGTGTCATGAATACAAGATCAGATAAAGAAAGAGAAAAACTGGGGAAAAACTAGGACCTTTGTTGGGCATTTTGCTTCAGCAAAAAATTCAGCAAGATGGGCGGCATCTGTGTTTGATGTTACACCTAACAAATAAAAACATTGATTTATTTAGAAAATTATGTGATGAACTTCAACAATCAGATTTACACGAATTAAGAACATGACATCTACTATTACAGACACCCGAAAAAGAAGAAAACTTGGTACCTCCAATGATAACTAAGCCATCCAATTTCAAATCCGTGCAAGCTTTTAGTGCAGCATTAACCTGCTCGGTTGTTCTAATCTGATCCTTGGTTCTTCCAAGCATATCATAGCCACCTAATACAACATACATTATATGTCAGAAAGAAGCAGAGATGAAATTCTGAATGATCTTAACAACGTCTTTATCAAACAACCAACCTTGATTTTTGTAAGTTTGAAGGACATCTTCAGTGATCTCCAGGGTCTTCTGGGCAAATAGACCTTCAGAACCACCTATTAACAGGTAACCAAAGTTTCAAATTAATGAGCAGGCACACATAAATACGGAAGTAAGACGTGACTTTATAGTTAGCAAACAGTGAAGTTAAAGAAATAAGAAAACCAACTAACAGATAAAGAACAGGACTTACCCAAAAATCCAAGCAAGGTGTTCTTCGCGTTGTGCACTTTGAGAGCCTCATAAAGACCCCAAACTACATTGTGCCCACCAGGAGCCTGTCTTCCAGAAAACACAATTCCAACCCTACAATAGAAAACAACTAGCTCAAACCAACAACATAACCACAGAACAAGCAACTACAGAGAACTATAAATATGCAGATGCATGCACACCTCTTTGCTGGATGTTCAGTAATGATCTGAGCATCAGGAACTTTAGCAGTTGCCCTCAGGAAGTGAGCCAAAGGCTGGCCTAGAGTATGCGGGAAGGCACGGGCAATGATATGAGCATCACCAGCCTTTGCCACAGTGGTTCCATCACCAAGCTCCACACGAACAGTAGTCCCCTGTAATGTACATTGAATCAAGAACAAATTAAACTACGCTTCAATCACTAATCCAGAAAATCGTATTCAAACAATACAAGCCTCAAAGTTATCACTCCATGATGAAAGGCAATTCTACCTACCACACTAAACTGATATATTAAATCAGACCCGTAAAAGCAAACGGACGAGTATTAGAGGATCATAAACCCTAGATCGCGATTATAACAACGGTGTAACCAGATCTGCATGAACGGAACCAACATTGCAAGTTCCTCAAGTATAAACTATTCGCGAGGTGACGGAATTGTGAGAGAACGAAACAGCAGAATAGATGATTTCAATGAAAAACAAAGAGATCCAAACATTGGAGACAGTGAAATAGAGAAGGAAGCAAGAGATCTAAGGACTGTACGAAGAAACGAATAAAAAGAGGAAGAAGAAGTACCTGGAGACAAGGAGGAAGCTCAGGGTGGTACTGAGATCGGAGTTGTTGAAGAGGAGAGAGTTCTCTGGGGATTCCGAAATCTGAATCCATGGGGGATAACTTTTTAGGTTTTTGGAGAAATTAGGTTGGTGAGAGTGTCAGAGAGACTCAGAGAGGAGGATTCAGAGAAATTTTTTTCCTTGGCCCGTCAAAACTATTTATATAGTGTGCGGGGGACTTGGCGATACCATCAACCAAACAGCCAAAATTTGGTCTTCTTTTTTTCTGTCTTTCAGTCCAAGCTTTTTCTCGATCACCCCTTGTTATTCTGGTTATTTACGAAACTGCCACTTGCATAAATACCCCTGCCTCGGCTTTTTGTTTGTTTAGAAGGGCTTTAGCTAACGCCGGAATTCTTTATATACATGGTTTGTATTCATTTCTTTTTTTGTTTTAATTCAAATTGTATACATTTTCCATGGGTTAGAGTCTTTACGACTGATACAAATAATCTTAAATGTATGTAATTTTAGTTGGTTTTCTGTTCAGATTTATAAATGCGGTTTAGTTTGAGTTGGCTAATTCTCACCTAAGTCTGATGATGGTGAACACCTAGAACCACCAAAAGGGAGAGTGAATGTGTACCAAACGATAGGTGAAGGGTAAATAAGGAAATGGAAGTTGGGAGAAGAAAAAAAGAAGAAGGAAATATTACAGAATATAGCATTCAATAGGGGAATATGCTTACATGGTAATATTGTAATTACAAGAAAGGAATAAATGCAAATATAAAAGGAGACGACTCTCTCATTCCCTCCTCCCCAAGTATTGCCTGAAAATACTATCCACACAGATATATATGTAGATATTGTGTACCATTACCAATGTATATTTATTTAAGTAATTATGCACATGGATCTTTAAAAATATGGATATTTGATCTTTTTGACCTGATTTGGGCTTTTTTGGCTTTCTTTACTTTGTCGACAATAAGAAAAAGGGCTCTCATTATTTAATGATATCTAGTAACCGAATTTCATGAACTCATGATCCATGGGATCAGATGTTCAAATTATATGTAACAAGGTAGTAAAATATACATAAAACATTAAGATGGCAAAAGAAAGGTTACACAAGCTTTATTATTATTGTTCTGTTCATATAGGCCTAGTGTGATAAGACCTCAAAAACAATAAGTTTTGATATACGATGAGAGTATATAATAGAAACATAACATTATGATGTTAACAAAGGACATCAAAGTTGGTGAACACCTAGAACAACAAAAGGAGTAGGTAAAAGGGGTCAGCTTTGCCTTGTGCTTATCAGCTTATCTCAACTACCTTACGAGAAGAACAGAAAAAATAAAGGTCAAATGTTTGATGAGTGTAGTTTGGATAATGCCGCATTAATAAAAAACTGAAAACAAATCAATAAATGACGTGGCAAATAGATCGATAACGATTGGCGGGCCTCTTTGTGATTTAACCCATAATCAATTAACCAGCCCAATTAAAATAAATGGGATTTTGAGCCAGACAGAAGAAAAACGAAATTCACAAAGATGATGATGTCGGCGACAGCGAAGGTGATGCACGGGAGAGTGTTGCTTCCGTCACACCGGGAGCGTCGGACAATCTCAACTGGATCGGAGATTTTACGTCTAAGAGAAACAGTACCGAAGCGATTTAGGCTGATGATGGTGACTACGGCGACGGCAAAGTATAAGGGGACGAAGATGAGGGAGGAGAAGCTATCGGAGATGATAGAGGAGAAAGTGAAGGAAGCGACGGAGGTTTGCGAGGCGGAAGAGAGATCGGAGGAGTGTAGAGTCGCGTGGGACGAAGTTGAAGAGGTGAGTCAAGCCAGAGCAGATCTGAGGGTCAAGCTGAAGCTACTGAATCAGGATCCATTAGAAAGTTTCTGCCAGGAGAATCCAGAGACCGACGAGTGTCGAATCTACGAAGACTAATTTTAGAATTTCGTGTTTTTAATGATTGTAGCTAATCTAATAACCAGAGGACTTAGAACAGACAGATTCTGATTAATGATTATTAAATCTCTCAATCATCCAAAAACGTTGTTCATGATTGTGTTTTGAATGCTTTGGAATGAAACGGCGCGTTTTGTATCTGGAATGAAACGGCATCGTTTTGATCGTTTATGGATATTGCGACTTGGGCTATTAAGTAATTGGGCTTTTAAATACCAAGCCACGTGGTCAGATCCGTAACGTTGAAAATTTGGTCTTAATAATTTATGAATCATTTAATTTTATATTTTTTGGAAATTTTGCGACCGCTTCTTTCTTTCTTCATCACCTCTGCTTCTTTCTTCTAGAGTGAAACAAACAGCCAAATCAAGATTTCACGGTGAGGCAATTCCATGGCTCTGTTGTTTCAGGAGAAGCTTTCATCATCACTTTCCTCAAGTTATTCGTCATTTCATTCTCTTCAGAGGATATACGTGCCGGAGCCTCCTCGTAGTAGAATCGCTGTGACAAGGTCCCGTTCGATTTGCAGAGCTTCGTGGCAAGAGGTTTTTGTTGAATTCGAAATTATCTTTTTGGTTTTATCCTCAGTTTTTTTTATTAACTTTTGTTGCTGTTTTCTTTTAGCTCGCCGGAGTGTTGGTTTTCTCGGCGATTCCGTTCACGGCGGTTAAAGCAATCGCAAACAGCTCGCTAGGCGAATCTTTACGGCGGAGATTGGAAGAGAAAAAGAAGGAAGCCGTGGAGAATTCTTCAAGATTCAAGGCTAAAGCCCAGGAAGCTAGAAACGACAGGTAATCAAGATTGAGTTTATCAGTGTTTTTTTCTTCTTTAAGGCAATGTTTTTGATATGATGGTAGATAAAAGAAATTCAGTCTTCTGAGGCAACCATGATTTGATAGACACTTTCGAAAGTGGTATTTTACTGTAACAACAACATGTGTCATGTTTGTTCCTGTAAGTGTACAGCAAGTGGTATGGAAAAGAACGTCCCCGTTGGTTTGGTCCAATCCCATATGACTATCCTCCATACCTTACAGGAGAACTTCCAGGGGATTATGGATTTGACATTGCAGGACTTGGCAAGGATCGTTTGACCTTTGATAAGTACTTCAAGTGAGTCTTCTCCTTTCTATTTCTAACCTTGTTCTGAACTTTGAAGCTGTCCTCCTTCCTCTTGCTAACTGTGATTGTTCCTCATTCTTGTTTTTGGTAAATACTAGTAGTTTAGTCATACTGCTTGTTTTGCAGCTTTGAAATACTTCATGCTCGTTGGGCCATGCTTGCAGCATTGGGTGCTCTAATCCCAGAAGTATTGGATCTCACAGGAGCTTTCCATTTTGCTGAACCCGTATGGTGGCGAGTCGGTTACTCGAAGCTTCAGGTAATTCCTTCATTACTTAGCTCTTTTTTTCAAACATGTTTCCCATTAAAGTACTAGTGTCAGTAGCATGATCGTGTAAGCTTTCATTTTCACCAGGGAGAGACGTTGGACTACCTCGGCATTCCAGGGCTTCACGTAGCTGGAAGCCAAGGTGTCATTGTAATTGCCATATGCCAAGTACTCTTGATGGTAATATACCTTAGGACATCAAATTCAACACTTGGTTCATATCTTACATTTCTCTTACCAAAAACGTTTTTTCGTGTACAGGTAGGACCGGAATATGCAAGATACTGTGGCATTGAGGCCTTAGAGCCACTGGGAATATACTTGCCAGGAGACATTAACTATCCTGGAGGGACGCTTTTTGATCCCTTGAACCTCTCCGAAGACCCCGTAGCTTTTGAAGATCTTAAGGTTAAAGAGATTAAAAACGGACGATTGGCGATGGTGGCGTGGCTTGGATTTTATGCACAGGCTGCTTTCACTGGAAAAGGTCCTGTACAAAATCTTGTTGACCATGTCTCTGATCCATTACATAACAATCTGCTTGCCATGCTTCAGACATGAAGAGACTATGTAGTATGTCAATGTGTGAATACGTTTAATACCATATGTTACTTAGCACATGTGATTCATTGTTTTAAGAGTAATGTTCTAATAGGTATTCACATTTGTTTTACTTTACAAACATTTTTTATTTATTTCTACTCATATATATGGAATACTTAATTGGCAACTAAAATAATTTGAGAAAAAAAAAAAGAAAACGATCAAAAAAATATGTGTGTAGCGTGTTGTTACAAGAATTTCAGGTATTATTATTCGGAACCATTACCAACGAAAATGGTTCACAAACGACGATATACGTGTTCCAGTTTTTGTGGATGTGAAACGAGTGATCATTAATTCATTATTGTGTAATCGGATATTTCTTTTTCCCTCTTTTGAATGGAAACGTATCGTTATCACTTGTTATTAAAAGTTTATAAATAACTATCTACACGTTTTATTTATGGTATGGTGTGCCTTATTAAATTGGGGGGGAGGCTCAAAATAAAACAAAATTGTCTAGGTGTACTTTCTTTGTGTGTTTTTATTCTTTCTCAAACCTAAATTTTGCTTTAATTATCTTTAGCCTCCCATAGTTTGTAAATCTGTTTGTATAGCCCATTGTTTTGTAATTTTTCTAAAAGACAATAAATAACTATTGATTATGGTCACCATCTAAAGTACTATAGTCTGATCTCGACTGGATGTGTCCTCGTGATTTAGAACATGTGATCTTATAGACTTGTACTATATGTGAATTAAAAAGTTAGATATATATATATATGTACTATATTTTGGGGTTTATCCCGGATATCGAAACAGTTTGATAGTATTGCTAAATGTGTTTAGTGTGAAACGTAAATGTTACTTTACCTAATTAATTCAAAAACCTTCATTGTACGAAGAAATATGGTAAGTTGAAAGTGAAGAAATGTGGTAAATCGAAACTGGACATAAAAACTGAAACCGAAGAACTGAACAAAAAAAAGAGAGTTTCGGTTCAGTTATAGATACCACTAAGTATACGAATAGATTTCAGTAATATTATCCACTAGATGTCGAATTAAGTTTTAACATTAATTCGGTGGATTTCTGTAACCGAACCGATATCTATAGATATCCGGATAAAACAAAAAAATGTTTGGTCAAATCTTCTACAAACTTACATGCTCAATACATTTTGTTCCCACTTCTAATCCGATATTTTTTTTATTATGGGTCGTTTGATGCAATATATTTTGGTCATTATATTTTTGTCAAAAAAAATAGATATTTAGGTGTTTCGATTTTTTTAAGTATTTCGAATAAAATAATTAGAACAAAATTAATAGCCACTAAAGTTCGGTTATTTGTCGGTATTCTTTCTAAATATCTGAATTTTATTAAAAGGCCAATAAGAAATATCAACTATTACGTACGATTATACTCCGATAATAATTATTTAATTCTTTTTATCTGTACTATTTTGTTTCTTATGTCATATCTACTGTGAGTGAGTAGACTGACGATATTTTTCTTTTAGAATTTCAATCCTATTAATTTATTCTTGTACAGATGTTGAAGGTCTTTTTGAAGGTTTTTAGAAATTAATTAGCCGACTAATATATCTATCTTTCTATCGTAAAGGCTTATTTTTCTTTCCATATGTGTGTCTTGGATAATAAGTTTTGACCATGCCAAGGAAGTAGAATATGATCAAACTATTCGTTTACGATTACAAATCAATACAAAATTTTCGATGAGATCTGTTCCGTCGGTGGATTGTGAAATATATTTGTAGTAGTGTTTTAATAAATTTCGAATATTTCTTAAGAGATATTTTAAACGATACCTGACTTCTCCCGTGACTCGAGGGGGATACGCTCAGCAAGTGACCAAATAACTTAATTTTTTATGTGTATGCTTATGCACTCCAACCTCACTTAACATGAAAATATTCCATAGCATATGCAAATATATATTGAGGAACTCAAAATATATTTCAATATACTTGAGCTATTATTTAGAGACTAATTTGACTACTTGGCTCTCTGCAACAACCATAATCCAGATAATTAATTGAATAACTTGACATGAGATATGTATTTATGCATGTCGATGGAAACAAAAACAGTTTTCCTCATGTATAGGTGCCAAGAGATTGTGTCGGCCGACAAACTAAATACGCTCGTTAGTAAAGACATAAATTATACGATACGAAAATATTTGGGGTTTAATTTCTAACCATAGATGAGAGTAGTGATGTGAAAACAAACTTTAATAAAAATACTAGTAATTAGGGAACAAAACAGAACTTCTCTCCACGTTACGTAATCAAACACTAAAACTAAAACTCCCTAAAATAACATAAATCTTTTTAAATATATAGATCGGAATCGAAAGCAATCAATCATATTTTCTCTCAAAAATATTCGTTATCGTTCCAAAACAATTAATCACGAAGAGCTTCTTCCGGCATTACCAAACCGGTCATGTACCATCGACCACGACCATCAAATAAAATTAGATTAAGATTTCCTCATTTCCATTTGTTATTTGTTTGTTGGTTTTATGATCGTTGTCAACAGAGCCCATTACTAACGTGCATGTTCTCCCGTCAACACTTGCAAAATTTCCAATCAAAGCCATAACGGTGAAAATAACTCGATTCCATAGATATTTATTAATTTGTTTTATATGTAATAATACACTGGTAAGAAGTTTCAAAACCTAACTGAATAATTTTTTTTAAAAAAAATTGGTTGTACTAATAGAGAAAAATCAGACTTTTTCATAATGCCTTTCGTACAAATAATATTTTAAATTAATCGTGAATGTTAACAAAAAGGTTAGAAGAAAAGATTTTAAAAATTTTGAGAAAAGAGAAAAGAGAGTTTGTGTAGTACAAGAAATAAAGGAAGAGGAAGAAGAAAGTACAAAGAAGCCTCTTGCGAATGGGTGTCAGTATTCTCCCAATCAAATTGAAATCTACTTTCCGTACCAATATTATACAGCTGTTTCCTCCTTCAATCCCAACTTTTATTTTTACAAGTACATATATTAATTTCATTCACACACTAAATCTTGTGTATACTTCCATAAAAAAATACACAATTTTAGAAAGATTTAAGTATTTAAGGAAAAATAATAATAAAATTGATACGCGGACATAAATCAATCCGTACACTGAGAGATTTCTTGTTTTGAATTTCACATGAGGCCTAGTTGGCAATTTTTAGAAATAAAAGGGTAATTATGTCTTTTTGACATCGACAGGTTTTTGGGTGGAAAGAACTGGTAGGCTCTTTTTTACCTTCCGTTACGACGCCGACTTCCTCCAAACGCGGACGCGCTTTTTGGCTAGTGTGTTTTTTTTTTTTTGGTAGGCTTAAAAATCTTTAAAGTGAAACCCCCAATTTTTAATGATTAGAAAATTTAGTAGATGTAAATAAAAACAAGTGTTTACGAAGAGAACTAGTTTTCCAAGTTAATTTATACAAGCTCATAATATAGCGTGATTTATGTTACCGAATAGAGCTCGACTTTGTGTGATTTTGTTTTTATTCTTTTGACATTTCGTTTACCTATAATTTGTCGATATCAAAATACATTTTCTGGTCCAAATTATCAACAAGTATTGTTTTAGTAAATTTGTTTCTACCAAGTTTGATAAGGGCACGGTCAAATCAAAAGAGGAATATGACATTGTTGAACGTAATACAACTCTATAAAATTCTTACTATTTATAAGAGAACAAAGCATTTAAAATATCGCTCAACTTTTTCTTCTACACGTAAAAACGAAAATGAATACATTATACATACTTGGGTGGAATTCTCAATTTGAACATATGATAGTCAACACGATAATACATTGTATTCCTTATATTGAAATCAAGTTAAAGGTCAATAGAAATAAATATTTTATTTATTTATCAACGATATCAAATGTTGACGAATAGAGATATTAATGATATCCTTTACAAGCAAGAAAGAAAAAGAGATTAATATTATCCTCAATGTTTCATATGAAATGGTGAATACAGCAAATAAAATGTAGTGAGATAATAATACAAATTTGCATTATTTTCTATGATAATTGATTTATTTTCTTTCAATGTAAAATGAAGTATGTATATCTTGGATCCTTCATCTTTTTTTCTCTCATATGGGAGGCCTAAATAAGTAAATATTACAGAAAAGACCCTTAATCTTTTCGAATTTACAATTTGTGCCACCACCGAACAAAAATAAGAATTACGAGTGATGAAGACAAGAGAACAAAAAAGACGAAGAAGAAGACGAACAAAGAGAAAGATCAAAAATTGAGAGGGAAAAAGAAGAAGAGCAATAGAGAAGAAGAAGAAACACCCTCGATTCCAGATCGATTTTTCAGTGTAAAATCTCGGAAAAAGCCAAAGATTCGATTTTGGAAGTTGCTTAAATCTGAATAAAGTCTCTGACTTTCGACTCGATTCGAAAAAAGTGGGTTTATGCTTGAAGCTGGGAATTCCAAAAATCGGAATTCGTGTAAAACTAGTTCGATTAAGCAGAGTTATGCTAAGGTACAGAGTCGATTCATTTCTCCCTTATGTTCTTCTGATCTCTCTCTCTCTCTCTTCTATTTTTGGATAACGAAATTATCTCAATTTCTTTTCAAGTCTCTAAATTTCTTGTGTTGAATTTTGTAGTTAATGAAGGTGAAGAAAAATAGTTGATTTTTTTTGAGAGAGTAGAGAAATGGGTGAGGTAGGTCCTCAAGTTGCTGCTCCGATTCCAGTTCACCATCCTATGAGGAAAAAACGCGAACTTTATTCACAACCACACTGGATTGTGTCATCTCAGCTACCGAGGGAGGATGATTGGCATATCAACAAGTGGAAGTGGGATAGTCAGAGATTTGAAGCTATAGAACTTCAAGGAGAGACTCTCCAGCTTGGTGGTAACAATAACAACGGTGGTTTGAGTTATAAAGGAGAAGAAAGAGGCCTTGATTTGAATCTACCTAGTGGTTTTAATGATTTGGAAGACACGCCGGTGGATTTAACCAGACCTAGTAAGAAGGTTAGGTCGGGATCTACGGGAAGTGGCGGCGGAGGAGGAGGAGGAAACTATCCTAAGTGTCAGGTTGATAATTGTAAGGAAGATTTATCAATTGCTAAGGATTATCATAGAAGACATAAAGTATGTGAGGTTCATAGCAAAGCTACTAAAGCTCTTGTTGGGAAACAGATGCAGAGGTTTTGCCAACAGTGTAGCAGGTTAAAGAGAATCTGATTCTTTTGTTCTTAGTCCATCTTCGTTTTTTGTATTCGGTTTTTTAAAGATTGGAACTTTTTGGTTGTTAGGTTTCATCTGCTTTCTGAGTTTGATGAGGGGAAGAGAAGTTGTAGGCGTAGATTGGATGGCCATAACAGGCGGAGGAGAAAAACGCTGCCCGATGTGATTACGTCTCAGGTTGTAGCTCTCGAGAATCGTGATAATACTTCTAATAACGCTAATATGGATGTTATGGCTTTGTTAACGGCTTTAGTTTGTGCACAAGGTACTTATGCTCTGCATTATTCTCCTCTCTGGTAGCTCTGTTTTGGATAATCATGGTTTAAAACAAAATTCCTGGTCTGTGGTCTGCAGGTAAGAACGAGGCTATTACTAATGGGTCTCCGGGAGTGCCTCAAAGAGAGCAGCTTCTTCAGATACTTAACAAGATCAAGGCTTTACCTTTGCCTATGGATCTTGCCTCAAAGTTGAACAATATCGGAATTTTAGCCAGGGAAAATCCGGATCAACCTTCCGCGATGAACCCTCAAAATAGTATGAATGGAGCTTCTTCTCCATCTACCATGGACTTACTTGCTGCTCTCTCGGCAACTTTAGGTTCATCTGCTCCCGAGGCCATAGCTTTTTTATCTCAAGGAGGGTTTGGTAACAAAGAAAACAATGATAGTACTAAGTTAACTTCTTCTGACCACGGCGTTACAACCAATGTAGAAAAGAGAACTTTGGAGTTTCCTTCTTTTGGGAGAGGAGAGAGGACAAGTAGCAGTAAACATTCTCCTTCTCAGGATTCAGATTCACGCGGTCAGGACACGAGATCTAGCTTATCTTTACAACTATTCACCTCTTCACCAGAGGATGAGAGTCAACCAACAGTTGCATCTTCAACAAAGTATTATTCTTCTGCGAGCAGTAACCCTGTTGAGGATAGATCTCCATCATCGTCTCCGGTCGTGCAAGAGTTGTTCCCTTTGCATACTTCTCCTGGAACCAGGAGGTCTAACAATTACAAAAACACTAGTCCCATCCCCAGGACCAGTTGTTTGCCCCTAGAGCTCTTTGGTGCATCAAACAGAGGAGCTACTGCAAATCCTAATTCCAATGTTTCTAGGCATCAATCTGGTTATGCTTCATCTGGTTCGGATTATTCTCCTCCTAGCTTAAACTCTGATGCTCAGGTACGCAGCTACCCATATTCTATTTGTAAACTAAATTCAAGGTCTTAGCAAAGCAGTTCTAAAGCCCACTTTTATGGGTTTGTAAACAGGACCGCACCGGAAAGATCATTTTCAAACTATTTGAAAAAGATCCTAGTCAGCTCCCTGGCACATTGCGAACCGAGGTGATACTTCTGGGGCATATTCTGACTTCCTTGAAACGAAAAATATTGGTTGTTATCCTTAAGTTCTAACAGTGGTCAATTCTTAATTTTAGATTTATAGATGGCTTTCTAGCTTTCCATCAGAAATGGAGAGTTATATCAGGCCTGGTTGTGTTATCTTATCTGTCTATGTGGCAATGTCAGCTTCTGCTTGGGAACAAGTGGGTGAATTTACTGAATGGTTGAATGACTGGTTAACACTATATGAATTTGCTTTAAGCATCCTACGGAGCTGATGGGTTTATATGTCTCCTTTTTCAGCTCGAGGAAAATTTACTGCAACGGGTTAGTTCTTTGGTTCAAGATTCAGATTTTTGGAGGAATACAAGATTTTTGGTCAATACAGGCAGACAGCTCGCATCACACAAACACGGTAAGTGCTCATAAGCTGGTACTTCTGTGTCTGTTGGTGCGTATGGTCTGCAAGATAATAACTTAGTCATTTCTATGCAATATCAAAGGTAGAATTCGTCTGAGCAAATCTTGGAGAACTTTGAATTCACCAGAACTGATCACGGTGTCGCCGTTGGCTGTTGTAGCCGGTGAAGAAACAGCTTTGATAGTAAGGGGTAGAAACTTGACCAATGACGGAATTAGGTAAACAATTTTTGTCTAGAAATTTAGCTATTTTTCTCATCTTTTTGTCTTTTTCTTCTAAGCTCTTTGGTCATACTGCAGACTTCGTTGCGCACATATGGGTAACTACACGTCAATAGAGGTAACTGGAACAGAACATAGGCGAACAAAATTTGATGAGTTAAACGTTAGTAGTTTCAAAGTCCAGAGTGCAAGCCCTGTTTCTCTAGGACGCTGTTTCATTGAGGTAAGGACTTAGAAATAACCAAATTTTAGTTTCTTAGTAAATCCTGGTTTTTGGAAGATGTTAGTTTAAGAGTTCTTATTATGTCAAAACAGGTGGAGAATGGATTCAGAGGTGACAATTTCCCTTTGATAATAGCCAATGCCACGATTTGCAAAGAGTTGAATTGCCTTGAAGACGAGTTTCATCCAAAAGACGTGATAGAGGAACAGACACAGAACTTAGATCGTCCAAGATCAAGAGAAGAAGTTATTTGCTTCTTGAATGAGCTCGGTTGGCTATTTCAGAGGAAATGGACATCCGATATTCATGGAGAATCTGACTTTTCTCTTCCCCGCTTCAAATTTTTGCTTGTATGCTCTGTTGAAAGAGATTGCTGTTCTCTCATAAGAACTGTCCTGGATATGATGGTAGAGAGAAATTTGGGAAAAGATGGTCTGATGAACAAGGAGTCCTTAGATATGCTGGCTGAGACTCAGCTATTGAATCGCGCTGTCAAAAGGAGAAATACAAAAATGGCTGAAACGCTGATTCATTACTCCGTTAATCCGTCTACTAAAAACTTCATCTTCTTGCCTAATATCGCTGGACCTGGTGATATCACACCTTTGCATTTGGCTGCTTCCACATCTGGTTCTGATGATATGATTGATGTACTGACTAATGATCCACAAGAGGTACAGTTTCTATATTTAGAACCCACTTCTTAGCCTCTTGTTTATTTTTATTTTTCTCTAACCAGAGTTTTCACTTTGTTTCAGATTGGATTATCTTGTTGGAATACCCTAGTTGATGCATCCGGGCAGACTCCATTTAGGTATGCTGCAATGAGAAACAACCACAGTTACAACACCTTGGTGACTCGTAAACTTGCAGATAAAAGGAACGGTCAAATATCTCTGAACATTGAAAATGGGATCGATCAGATTGGTCTGAGTAAGAGACTAAGCTCAGAGCTAAAGAGATCTTGCAACACATGTGCAAGTGTGGCTCTAAAGTATCAGAAGAAGGTTTCGAGTTCACGTCGTTTGTTCCCAACTCCGATCATCCACTCGATGCTTGCTGTTGCGACAGTCTGCGTTTGCGTCTGCGTGTTTATGCATGCTTTCCCAATCGTCAGACAAGGCTCTCACTTCAGTTGGGGTGGTCTTGATTACGGTTCAATCTAAGGTTTGCTATATAACTAAGTGTTGTTAATTCTTTTGGTTTGACACCAAAAAAAAAAAGAAAAGTGTGGTGAAGGAAACTGAGAATGGGAGGCAAAATGAGAAAACCCGAAAGACATGTGGAATTTGGATATTGCAGAGATGGAATCACTCACTGGTCTTTTGTGAGCCAGAGAGTACAGAGAAACTGGTTCGGGTCAGAGCAGACGTAGCTTCAACACAACACCCAAGTTTTTATATATTTGGCTAATTATGTTTTATTCTTGAATTAGTCCTTGTCTCTTAATTACAGTTTTTTAGTTTGCATCTCTCTTAACAACACACAAGCTGTGGCTGTTTTACTGAATCTGTTTTCTCTTGGGGGTTTATTGTGTCTGTAGAGTTGTGGACGTAGCTGAACATTGTTGTAAAATTGTAATGTTAATACCTTTTCTCGTAATGCTATGTAAAAGTAGTGGTATATATTAGCCACTTGCTAAACATTTTAAGGGGACGTGTTAAAAAGTGAAGATGATTCTTCACAAAATAAAACAACCACGGTCACGTGAGTACGTGAGTCTCGTGCTATTGACTACTCCGTACTATTGTTGAGGTCGGTCGACAGTGCATTGCCCCATCTTCGCCTTCTTCTTCCCACAATTGTCTCAAAGTTTCTATCTTTTTCACTTTATGAATACAAACAAAAACTAATCTCTTTTTGTGTGTAGTTGAACTAGATAAGATCGCAGAATAGAAGACGATGATTCGTCGACTTTTCTCCCAACAATTAGTTGTTATGTGTAATTTTCTATAGATAGCTACTATCTGATTACGTGGATCACACTTCTCTTTTTATTATTATCTCTTTAGATATATTATTCCATATAATATGATATCAGGTCTAGAGATCAGATACTTAAAAATACTTTTCATTGGATTTGGCCGGAAGACTTGTTGCTTTAAACTTTTATGTAGAAGATAGCAGGCTAAAATACGTAGAAGACAAAGACTTTAGCTGCATAATTTTTGGGTAGGGACTAGAACTACATTTATTTCGAGTTATTTCTCGTAGTTTCGACATTTCACGCAATCTCAAATTAATTGCAAACTCTTTTGATCATATCTTTTGAAACTATCTTGCTATAAGATCATAAATTCGTTACCAGCCCCAGTAAGCTATCAAGTATGAATATTCAGATGGATTTAACTGTGATAATAGTATATAGTTTCTTTTGTCAACTGATGATAAAATTGAACTACTCCACTAGTAAAAATATCTTTTAAAACGTTACTATTTAAATATATCAGTCGACATATGTGCTAACGCTTCTAACAGTTTGAGCAGATAATGAAATCATATGTGAACAGTTTTCATAAGCCGTACAGGTTTGCACAGATATTCGTAGTTATGACTTAACACACAATCCTGAAACTAGTTTAAGCACTTTCTTTCAGCAAAAAGCAGTCACCAGATGATAAGAACTCTTTGGCACGTAACAGACGCTTTGGGACCTTACGATTTCAAGAAGTGGCTTATGTACGGCCCACTCAAGTTCTTCATCCGACGGTCTAGGACTGGTCATGTGGGTGAACTACAAAAGGCCAAAAGCGTGAGCCACGTTACATTATAAAAGGTTGTCTTTTTAATCCAACGGCTCAGACCAGAATCTCCAATTCGGTTCTGTCTCCTCTCGTGTCCGTCCATCTCTCTAGCTCTTCAGCTCTAGCCACGTGTTTCTAATTTTGACCATAATCTTCTCTTTGTTTTTTGAAGGTATAAAAATTAAAATTATTTTATACTTTCTCCTTTTCATAATATAAATCGTTTTAATTTTAAAAACGCAGATTAATAAGATCTACTTTTAAAAAGTTCAGTCAATCATAAAAGAGACTATATAATAAAAATAATTATAAAATATTAAAGTAATATATAAAATGCATAAAAACTTAAAAACGATTTATATTATAAAACAAAAAATTTTCTCCAAAACGATTTATATTATGAAACAGAGGGAGTATTAGCTAATTTAGCATCCACACTCGAGAGTTCTCTTGTATGGCGTGCCCTTTCAATAATTCGTGCAATATGTTACATGTGATTATCATTATCTATCACAAACATAATGGATAAAATATAAGGAATTATTGCATATTAAGATATTAAGACAATCAAATTTGGTAGAAAAAATATCTTCCTACGTTGGGAATGATGTAGGTCCTAATAAATAAGTCGGCTAATTTGATATTTTGTCGCGGACCACGAAATAAAATGATTTATTATCATTTGTGAGCGATAATGATTCAAAATTATCAATAGTACAACCTTTTTTTATTAAGTTCCTTTACTTCTAGTTCTAGTCTCTAGAGACCCACACATGTGCACAAAAATATACGTGTGTCGCTCATGTTCTTAAAGCAAAATTAGAGACACTTATTTTAGCTAAATAAAGTAATTAAAGGAAACCATATAAAAACAGTTTTTAAAGGGGATGGATATTAAATGATTTTCATGTGAAATTATAAAACCTATGGTAATTATCGTGACCGACTTCAAAAACAAGAAAAACCTCAATTTCTCCTTGTTCAGCTATCTATAGCCGCCGCCTCCTCCACTAAACTCAAATCCTCTCTTCTCTTTCTCTCAGTCTTTTCAATCAAATCTTCCTCTTCTTCACTGTTGAAGCTGGCTATCAAAACTCACAATAACTATGGTGATTGATTGATTGATTCTCCTTCTTACTTACTCTTTCAAGTAACTCTGCAGATTCTTATATTTAACCTTTGGTATTTGGTCTAAAAATCTTCCAGGTACCGATGATGATGAGAGCAGAAGAAGATAACTACAACAATCTAAGTCCTCCACCATGGCTAATCCCAATGCTAAGAGCAAACTACTTCGTCCCATGTTCGATCCACGCTTCTTCCAACAAAAGCGAATGCAACATGTTCTGTCTTGACTGCAATTCCCATGCCTTTTGCTCTTACTGTTTGCTCAATCACAGAAACCATCGTGTCGTTCAGGTTCGTTCTTTCATCAACTTCAAATCATTTTTTTTTTTGTCTTTTCCTCTCACCAATTCACAGAGCGGAGTTAAGGAAATGGGATTTTCATTTCTTTCAGATACGGAGATCATCGTACCACAACGTTGTGAGAGTAAACGAGATTCAGAAGTTCATAGACATATCTTGTGTTCAGACATATATAATCAACAGCGCAAGAATCGTGTTCTTGAACGAACGCCCTCAGCCAAGAATCGGGAAAGGAGTCACCAATACTTGTGAAATCTGTTGCAGAAGCCTTCTTGATTCTTTCCGTTTTTGCTCTCTCGGTTGCAAAGTAAACTCTTCTTCTCTCTGTTTTCAATGAAACTCTGAATTTGCTCTGTTTGTTGTTGTTGTTGTTGTTGAAATGACCGTATTGCCCTTTTGTATGGTCAGCTTGGAGGAATGAAGCGTGAACCAAGTCTAACCTTCTCTTTGAGAGGGAAGCATGGAAGAGAGTACGAAGGTGAGTGGGAATCTGATGAAGCGACCACACCAACTAAGATACGGAAGACGTCTGCTTTCAACCGTCTGATGAGTGGTCTTTCCATCTCCACCGTTAAATGTGATTACTTGTCAGGAGATCAACGCTCCTCGAGCTCCGGTGATGAGAGCGGTTTTAATCTTTCTCCGGGGACGCCGCCGATATATAATCACCGGAATTCAAGCAGACGGAAGGGCATCCCACACCGTGCTCCTTTATAGAATTAATATACTAACGGAAGCTAATTATTATATATAGTATAGAAAATGCCTATAAATATTAGAAGAAGATGCGGTCATTATGTTGTAAATGGTTAGTATATATTGGGTTTTAACCTTTTGAACACATATATACAGGTATTTGTTTTTTTTTTTAAATATACATATAGAAATTAGGTATATACTGTAGAGTGAAATATGTTTTCATATAGTTTTTTGTTGTAAATATACGTTCGAAGGATGTAAGTTGTTTCAACTTGTTTTGCAATCGTATACTGTGTATTATCGTCACGATAAAATGGCAAATATGATAACTAGGATTGTTAACTAAAGTTCTATTTTACCAAAAAAAAAAAAAAAAAAAACTAAAGTTCTAACAACTGTTTATCATAGTTATTTGCATTAGTATTCGTTGATGTATTTCATCATCTAATTTATGTTTAGTAATATATTTCTAGCAATTTATATATGGTCAATGAGAATGATACAGACGAAGAAGATTTAAAATAATAAACCGTGGATCAAGATTTGTTATTTAGTAGATTTGTATTATTGTCAGAATTCGATTATGTATCAGTATTAGTATTGTCAGAACACATAAACATTGGTGATAAGGTGGGGCGAAAAAATTATGGGTCTATTTCAAGATAAGGAGCTTCGGCGCAAAAGAAGCTTATCTCATTAGAAATCGATTGTTAACAACAGTTCAAATACTTCGTTTCCCTAAATTGGTTAATCAAGTATTTTTAACTCGTGGATTAGGAAATTTTTCTCTTCGAAACAATACTTCGCTAAATCCTAATAACTTTTGGCATTTGGATGCTCATGCATCTTCATATTTTTTGGGTGGTTGTTTCAGCTTAGTGGTGTTTTGATGTTAAATTGTATGATCTGTGTTAGTTGTATTCTAGTTTTTCGGTATAGTTTTCATTTAGCTTTCTATCAAATCTCATATTCTAGGGGATTAAGAACCATGGATTTTTCATGTAATCTTCCGTGCAAAAAATTGTTGATTTACAGTTTTATTCTCTATATATCAATGTTATCATTGTTAGTTTCCTCATATGCTACATCAGAAGAATCAAGTGCGAGAGCAAGACAATTGTTACCTTTTGAGAAAAAAACTGTGATGATCATTGATTTAGTAAGAAACGCAGAAATTTTGAATGTACATTGCAGTTCCTCAGAAGATGATTAGGGGTTACAACATATCCGTTTCTCTCGTTCTTGGTATTTCAAATTTAGAGTAAATTGGAAAAGCGCGCACTACAAAATTCCGTTGTCATTTTACATGGAGGGGAGGTAATGATCATTGGTTTACTATATTTAAAGATCGGAGAGACCATTGTGATTTGTGTATCTGGCGAGTCTTGGGAGATGGTGGAAAAGAAAAATCTATGATTTGTCAAAGATGGTGGAAAGATGAAGAACTTGAATATGAAGTTTTTTTCGATTGGGACAAATAGATTCAAAATAAATAAAACATAAATTACTATGCGACCTTCTAATCGATCGACTGAAAACAATATCGTTCGACTAAGGTTTGTAATTTAGTGATTTATGTTATTATTGTTGCCGTGTAAAATCAAATACAGTGATTTATGTTATCTGGATTTAAATACAGTGTAAATTCCATAAGCAATACAACGACTATTTATTTTCATTGTAATTCAAAAATATATATATTGTACCATCATTCTCGTCTTAACGAAATGTAACATTATAAAATATTGACGTTTTGAAAAAAAAAAAGACATAGTTAAGAAATTCCAGAAGAAGTTCTAAGAAATTAAATAATTAGATAAACTAAAACCAAAAATACCTTTTTATTGAACAAATATAATTTAGAGTATTATATATAAATGCATAAATCATATAGGGAATCATATGGGGAATCAGGGAAACATGCAACGGATGAATGAAGAGAACATAAATGATAAGTTTTTTTTTTTTTTTTTTTTGAACACGACATAAATGATAAGTCTAATATATGGATATATATTAGAGAATTAGAAAGCATACATACATGTTTCTTTATTCATAAAATATACTCCCTCCGTTCATTAATAAGTGATATTTTAAGCTTCTAATTTTGTTCTTAAATAGATGATGTTTTCAGTTTTCAATACAAAATTAATCACTTTTTATTGGTTTTGACGATTTATATTCTGTAAATTGTTTTTTTATTGGTTGATTAGATAATAAATGATGTTTTAGTTTAGAAATAAACAAAAATTAAATGATTTCTTAATCGATGTGCATAATTCTGCTAAAACATCACTTATAAAAGAACTGATGAAGTATATATTGGGGGTTATAAGGGACTGAAATATGCTTTTTATGTAGTTTCAGTTTTGCTGTATATATAAGTTTTGAAAATATGGTTCGTGGTATGATGACTTAGGGTTGCAACATATCCGTTTCTTTCATATTTGGTCTTTCAGATTTAAGGTAAATTGGAAAGGCACTACAAAATTCCGTTGCCATATAACATGGAAGGGAGGTGGTGATCATTGGTTTACTATATTTAAAGATCGGAGAGACCATTGTGATTATTGTAAGTGGTCAGTCCTTGGAGATGGTGGAAGAGAAAAACCTATGATCCGTACAAGATGGTGGAAAGGATATGAAACTGGAAGAGATGACTTTTACGATTGGGATAAATAACCTCATAACGAAGAAAACATATACTAGTATGTTACTTTATAAGATAAAATACAAATAATATATTCGACTAAGGTATGTAACTTAGTTGTTTATGTTATCAAATTATTTATTATCTGAATTTGAATATGATGTAAGATACGCGAAAGTTGTTGAAAAATGTATAATTAACAATGGCATAATTCTATGCCAACAAAAAAAAACAAATTATTTTCAAAAGTTAATTATATTATATTTATAGACAAATGTCTTAGTTGAACATCAAATATAAAAAAAAAGATTCAACGTTTAAACTTTAAAAGCTTTTTAAAACAAAATGTAAGCGGAAGAAATGTTAGTAAAGTAGGTTATATAAAATGTGTAAGGATATATTTGAAGGCTACTTCTCTTGTATACCTATATAAGAATTGCCTCATCAATCGAATTTTCCACAGAGTTTCATAATCTTATATGGCAGTAAAGCAAAATCTAGCAATATTGAAATTGCTCAGATTCGAGTTAACATATCGATTCAACTTGATCTCAACAAGATGGATTTTGATATATAGCAAGATTTTTGGGACACCATAGCTCACTTTTGCTGTTCTCAGCCACTTGATGGCTCCTCCACTCCTCCAACCTTTGAGAATTTGTTTCGTGACAACAAAAAAGCTCAAGCTCTTTAATACGATGACTGAGACTTGAGAGCCTGATAAGAGCAATTTTCAAATTTGCAGGTCATATAATAAAGCCCACAAGCTAGTTAAAAAGGAAAATAGCGTTTTAAGCCTGTACTGATGATAACAAAGTATGATCCAGTTCCCTGCCATTTATTTCATGGCCCAATATAGTCCTTTTAGGCAGCGCCTATAATTGTTTCAATTTTTTTTTTTTTTGTCTCAAAAGTTTTATTATAATTGTTTCAATTAAGGCTTACAATAAAGATATATAATTAAGATTTTTTTTTTTTGATAAACCCTATCGGCTGATTCGGTCAGCCCCGATAGGAACGCACCGAAGTGCTACAGAGTGAGCTACTCCTGCGGTTCAACGGTTCAACGATTCAACGGATACCATGAGCTTCGAGCAGACTCGGGTCGAACGGGCCATGAGATCCAGAATTGGGCTACCACACTGCCTGATCCGAGTTTGGAGTGTCTTCCGACTAATGCCAGAAGGTAGTCATGCCGCCTGCATTTCTGACTACCAGTTAAACCAGTTGGGCCTATAAATCAATTGGGCCAAGGTCTAACTGACAGACTTCCCAAACAAATGTGTTTTTGTTTCCAGAGAGGATCGAACTCAGGGTTGAGATATATAATTAAGATTTAAGAGTATAGAAAGTTGATGTGAACACGACGACCACGTTATATTAGATATTAGATATAACCAAAAATTAGGAAAATTTCTGGCAAGGAACAAAAGCAGACGTGCAAGGAGCTTATCTAAACAAAACGGCTTAGATACTATTTTTGGTAGCTAGCTATTCTTTCTGGATCATGGTACATTTTAAGTGGTTACTAAATAAATTCCGATTCTTCCAGATAATTAATCATGTGAGCATCGTCACCTGCGCATAGGACAAAATATCATGAACAACTTTAGTTAATATTTGTTCTGACCTAACACATCTGAAATAATATCCAATAGGATGTAATATGTTTTTACACAAGTTTTAAAAAACTTAGCAACGTGATAGCGTGACCGTTCTGACAATACGCACACGTATAAACATATTTAAATGTCTTTTTAATTAGTTTGTAAACATTTTATACTTAAATTATTTATGTATATATAAAGCATTTATCTATCTAGTTTTCAAAAGAATCTTAAAACGAAAACAAAGAAGTAATTAACTTCTTAGTTGATCGACCATTAGACTTGTGGAAATTGTCAAGTTGGAATTGACTCTGCAAACAAAACGTCTTTTTAACGGAATTCTCTGAAGTTACTCTCGTAATTACATGACAAATTACGCGTTCAGCTGCCAAGCTGCCATTACCGAGATTTAAAGATATCTTCAAGTAAATGACAAAAAAAATAATGTATTTACCATCAACTTGATAAATCAATGAAGACTTTTTATGAACTTTTTATGATATCACAAGTAGTCTCGTCACCAATCAATAAAATTAGATTCTAACAGTTACAATAGTCCAACAAGAATAGTTTTGCCTAAAACTCTGGAAAATCTTTTGAATTGGATTACATATTCGAGTATTTTTGTAATTGGGATATTAAATAGTACTACTAATGTAGTTGGTTAGTACGTAGTATTAGCTACAAAGTCAACGGCTGAACACGTGAATCCTTCTTTCTTTCTGCATGGCCTGCGACCTTGTTCGACTTTACTCGGTTCGATGTAATAATTAAATGCGTACGGTGTTCCCTAGCATTAAGCTTCGGACTTTATTAACATTATTGAATTTGGATACGATCGTGTATATAGTTTTAATTTGTTTTGAATAGTTTACCAATTCCCTTTTTGTTTTAGTACGAAGAAACTATAAAAAAGATGCAATGATTAAGTTGTTTAATCAATTCAAATGTATTATTTTCTTTTAGCGGATATTGAGAAGCATATTTAAAATACAAATGTCAAAAGTACATAGTTAATCTAATCCAAACACATGTATAGTGTTAGTACT